TTTTTCCGTCGCGTTGGTCTAAGTCTTTGAGGCGGAGAGAAAGGAACCAAAGTGATGGACGGCTGCCTGTGGCGCTGCCAGGTGGCCTCGGTCACGTGGGTTCGTGACGTAAGGGGTAAAAGAATCTTGAGGTCATGGGGCTTCCCCTGACCTGGATTCTATCTCTCCGTCACCGGCAGAATCGCTGATTAATGCCTACAGTTCAAAATAGTCATTTTAACTGACCGGAGTCTATGGTGGGTATGAACTATGTGAATAGGCAGGTTCAGAGAACCCTCGCCTAATTTTGTTTGAGTTTTTATGTTATCAGTACTTGTTATCAGTGTTGCCGCAATCGCAGATGATCTCCGTCATCACAGCCTTTCAGTTAGCGAGCAGATTTGACCTGAAAAAAATCATTCCCCCACAACACTGCAGATGTTCGGCAAGATTATTACTTAGTCGATAAAAATCCATCGGTTAGCACATCGATTACGAATTTCCATGATGGAAAGCTTAGTACAAGGCTTTTTCGTCGCTGGTCCACAGGGTTGCATCGACCGTGTGTCCACCATTTATTCTATTATGTCATTTAAGTGAACCACCCTATGGTAAATTGACTTTTTTGATTGGTCGGGCGATTGACCTCGTGTCACATTTTCATTATACCGGATTCGGTAAAAAACAGAGTTAAGCGGTCATGTACGTTCTATAAACCTAACCTTGCACACATAATCTTGTACTGAGGTTTTTTTTTTCCCCAAGAAAGACGTTCCTTTTCATTTAACCCCCAGTTAACTCTTCGCATCCATGGTATTTGTGAGAGTTGAAAGATTTTTTGAACAAATGACAAGTAACTATATTGATTTGCGTCAAGCTGGGTGGCCCGAATTTAAATATCAGTGCATGAACTCTGGAGGTCATTGCCCAATGCCGCACGTAGATTCAAACGCATGGTTAAAAAAAACTAATTATCATGAAAGCAATACATTACGAAGTTGAAATATTCAGAGCCGGTACAATATTGTAAACAAATTTGCGTAATGAGAAAAGCAGTGCACTAAGTAAATGACGTTGATATATTCAAAGCCAGTACAGAATTGCATACAAGTTGCGTAATTACAGTACTTTCGGATATAATAACAATTTTACTAGATTGACGCGCGGGCACGAAAGAAAACGGTTGCTAAGGTAACGCGCCAGTTCAGCGGGTGACTTGGGGTCAAACTTCGGTCAACACACACTTGATGTCAGCATCGCCGCGCAGCAAGTTTCGCAAAGAAGTACTTGAAGTTCAAAATGATGTCGCTGATCACTGAGTTGTTGCAGCGTGTGTTGTGTCATGTTCGTGATGCACCACGTTTCGACTTTGGCTTGCTTTTCCTTTTTAGTGCATGTTCTTGTTCACGTAAAATGTGACCTCTCACGAATGTATTGAAACACTTTGAATTTATACTTTGCATGATTATATTTGGTCAACGCGAAACATTATTTTTTCTAAAAATTTTTGAGATCATTTTTATCAACGCAGGGTTATTTTTCCAGACAAGATGGGCTTCGTAATAACTGCCATAGCATCGCCCGGGCGATGCCTAGAAAAATAAAAAAAAGGCAGTGCAGCCAGACGGCTACTTTGTAGCCATGTGTTCATTGTTTGTTTGTGTACAGAGTGACCTTTGCCATATTTCACTGTTTCATTTCAAGTGTAACGTGGTGCGTGGTCCTTGACGCAGTGCGTGTTCTCTGCCCGACTACACGCCATGAATGTCGCTAGCCATGAGTCTCAGAGGCACTAAAAAAACGTCCTGTAATCGTGTTCATTGGAAAACAAAACAAATCACTAATAAATTTATGAAAACAGCTCCTTTTTGAATCGATCTAAAAGTACTCTTCTAATTCGCGCACCAAAAACCAATAATTTCCGTTTTTAAGCTATTAATATGTGCACTTGAAAAAATAATTATTTTTACTACCGCGAATTAATCAAGTTTTTACGGTAGTAGCGATAATCCTTGGACATGTGTTGGATAGTGGAAGTGTTTTTTAATGTGTGAATTAGTAACAAACATTGAATAATAAATGCTCTTTGTTCTTATTTGTTTAGATTCTGTTTTAAATTTATTGACAATCACGTATAAATGAAAGGTCAAAATTGTAATAATTCATCTGCAAGGAGAACGCAAATAATAAAATGCACGAATTAGACAAAATTTGCTTTCACGCACAAATTACATTTCATGAAAATTTCCCGCCCTACAGTATGTTACCGATAATTCACCTTATTTGTAGATAACTTGTTGTTTGCTGCTAGATTAACATTATAATCTTTGAGTAAACGGTGGAAATGATCATGAAACCTTTGATCTTAAACCAGTTGTAACGCCTTTTATACCTCCATGTATAGAGTTAGTTCCATTCATAAGAAAAAAGTTTATTTTCCTTTGGAAATGACTAAGCTTGGGTTCATGAATGTCTTGCACTTATTTGCAGCTCAATTATTCTTGCATATACAATTACTTACAGGTTTCAAGCACAGATACTGTTTTGTTTGTTAAACAGTGTATAGCAGTTCAGTTCAATGTGCCAGTGCTGCAACAGACATTGGTATTTAGAGGCAAGACATTAGCAGGTACATGTAAGCTACAATGTTATCTTCATGCATTATACAATGTACTTATAAATTATTTTCTTAGTAGACTGCTTCATGATTACTATTGGGTGATCTAGAATGTCATTGATTATATGGTACTGTTTTGGTATTGGTATACATGTATACAATATACAACAACTTGGTTAAGACAAATAACCTACATGTACAATCACAACTATAATTAATTGACCAAACATTCCAATTCACAACAGCCATGGTATAAATTAGATATATCATGGTAACTTGATGGTTATGGCACATAGACCACTTTTGCCACACTCGTGAATTTATATGATTCTATTTCTTGTACAGATGATCAATGTCTCAGTTATTATGACATTGAACCAGACACTAAAATACATCTAGTTATTAAGAAATGTGTTACACAGCTATGGGATCAGCTCAAGCCTATACTAAGAAAACATTTTAAAGCTGGAGATATGGATAAAGTTATTGACCATTTTAAACAGGTATTTAAGCTATGAGCATTTTCTTAAGTTTAAAACATTTTGGTAAAAATAGCTATTAGGAGGTGAAGTGCATACTGAGTACGGACAGGAAGATTTTGCCGTACAGTTTACTGAGGCTAAATATTTTTTGACATTGCAACTAGTAGCTTCGCGGTGAGTGGCTTTCACGGTAAGTAGGTTTTGTATCTGGTGGGTTCCGCGAGGAGTAGGGCTTTGTCTCAGTAACTGGTCCTTTCATCTTTGTTGAGAATTGCAGTTTTATTGTTTCTTTAACAACTAGTGTTATTTTGGGAATACCATATTGGCAAGAGTTCCAAAATAAGACCCATACTCTGATAATGCCTCTAGTTTCAAAGACCAATAAACATTACCATTATGATCTTATTGGTGTTGCAAAGGATAGTTGAATATTGTTTATTGAAATTAATAATAATCCCCATTACCGTTTTCCAATATAGTTAAATTGAAGTACGTAACAAACTGTATAACTCAGTCTCAACAATGAAATAAAGGAATGTATATGTATATTTACATTATTACTAATGCATTGCAATTCAAATTGAAAGAAATTGCAATATAAAATATTCCATCAGTAATACTTCTCAAAGGCATATTTCGCGGTCAGTTTTATTTATGAAAATATTTGTTTATAATTTTATACACTTGCTTGGCAATACACACCCCAATTAGATATAATGTGTACATATTTTAATAAATAAAGATATACTAACAAAAATGAAATATTAATTATTTCATATTTTATTATATAACCTGCACAAAAGTAATCAATATTTTTCCTTGCTAGAATGATGTGTAACTTCATACGGGAATCCTGATAAAGTTCACAACTGTTGATTTAGCAATATTAGGGATTGTCAACTTCCTGTGAATTTGATTACCTATCGTTTTGGGGTTCAAGTGCTGCCAGTTAAAGCGCACGTACCTAAACGGCCATCCCCCAGCAAATAATTAAGCAAAGGCATCTTCGATATTGAAATCAAGAAACTTGTGTTTTTACACAATCTGGGAAGTTCAAAATACTAAATGAAGTACAGGACGACGAAGCTGAAATATCCAAGAACCAACACATACCAAAAATCTGTTTAGTATAAGGTAGTAACAACTTGTCAATAATTATGGGATTATTTGTAAGCATGAGATTGTTATGTGAACTCCGTTCATTGATGGAATACTGTGCGATGACGCTATTTTCAGGGCCTAACTGACTCAGACTCCTGTATTGACTATGTCCCGGGCTGTTTTCTAGTAACAACCTACTTACTTGTCAGTGTCTGACTGTTATATACAACCCAGAACACGTCAGAATAGTAAAATCAAAGAAAGCTTAGAAAGAACTTCCGTGTGCTGAGAGTATTGAAGACACATTAAAAATTAATTCAAAATTACTTGTACATGAGATATTGATTGAAAAGCTGAAAACTAATTATGTAAATCAGGTAACTAATGTGAACAGAACAGAACAAAAAAAATATGAATTATTATACTAATTAGAGAATTAATATGAACAAATTTTAACCCAAAATTAATCTTGCCTGTCTATTGTCCTAGAGCATTTATGCACTAAATTTTATTCAAATATGATGATCAGTAATTGAGATATCAGTGTTAATTAATTATATTAATTAGATGATTAATAAGCATAAATATTTACCAAAAACTAATTTGGTTTCTGCATAGTTCTCTTTAAAAGTTTCATTAAAATCCAATTTGTGGTTCTTTATATATCAGTGGAACATGCAAATTAGGTAATTAATATCCAATTAAAACTAATCAGGTCTCTGCATAATCCTAGAAGATCTATGTAGCAAGTCTCATTCAAATATGATGATTACTACTTGATATATCAAAAGCTGAAAATTAATTAATTATGCAAATTAGGTAATTAATATGTACTCATATTACCCTAAAAACTATCGGGTCTGCGCAGTGTCCTATGACATCTATGTACCAAGTGTCATTGAAATGTAATGATTACTACTTGAAATATCAAAAGCTGAAAATTAATTAATTATGCAAATTAGCTAATTAATATATACTGATATTACCCTAAAACTATCAGGTCTGTGCAGTGTCCTATGACATCTATGTACCAAATTTCATTGAAATGTGATGATTACTACTCGAAATATCAAAAGCTGAAAATTAATTAATTATGCTAATTAGGTAATTAATATGTACTTGTATTACCCTAAAAACTATCAGGTCTATGCAGTGTCCTATGACATCTATGTACCAAGTGTCATTGAAATGTGATGATTACTACTTGAAATATCAAAAGCTGAAAATTAATTAATTATGCAAATTAGCTAATTAATATTGGACAGATTTTTACCCAAAACTAATCAAATCTGCGCATTAGTTTGGAGCATCTGTGTGCCAAGTTTAATCAAAATCCAATGAGTGGTTCTTTAGATATCAGTGGAACAGTCATGGAACAGCTAAAAATCAGCCAATTATCATGCAAATTAGGTTATTAATATGCATGGATTTTTACCAAAACCTAATCAAATCTGCGCATTGGCGGACACACACACACATACACACACACACATACAATCTGATTAAAATCTGATGTAGTGTACGGGCTTTAATTTTTTTGGCTATAAACTTATTTTAATTTTATCACTTTTGTTATTAATGCATTTTTATTTTACTTTGATTTTCATTTTGTGATTTTTTTTTTATTCCGCCCTACATACATCTGATCCGACGCCTATGTAAGTCCCGTTCAAATCTCGCGTAAGTAACAGCCAATCACAGCCCCCCTTTTATACAGGCTGTCGGTTGCTTACTTTTCAGTGTAGCTATACTCCACGGGCAATCTTTCTGTACATTATATTTTTCCCACTTGAATAAACCATTAATAGAAAATTGCTAGTATATTTTTATATTACAGAAGAAATTCCACAGCATTTTACAATTTTTGTCATTACATTGAATATTTTTTTCACTTCCAACAAATGTGTACACTTCCTGATACATCTTCGCCAGCCAAGGTTCGTTTATTCAGTCATCGCTTCAATTTTACATCAAACACTGAGCATAATTATCTAGAATGGAAGCAAAAACATAAGTAAATCGTATGATAGAACACTGTAAACAGC